ATCTTACCGTATGTATATATAAAAATTAAGTACTGAAAGGAGCAGAGATTTTTGTTTAAATCAGAATGTATTGATTTACAGTGAAACTATACCTTATGGTTTCACTGGTTTCTATGGGTTGTGCTAATGTAACTATTTTGAATGTATATGGGTGGATTAGAGAGGCCACTTGATGGACAGGATAGAGACGGTTTCCAAAGTTGTTCTTAGTTACATGTCTAACTACCACTAAATTGTTACACAGTTAATCTGGTACCTTGCTAAATTCTGTCCTTAAGTAATTTAAAGACAGTTAGGGGTCTGTCCAGACAACTTAATCTCTGTAGCAGAAAAAGAGGGGCTTGAAGCTGTGAGAACTAACCCAAATGTCAAGGTCCAGATTCTTTCACAGGATGAGTAATTGCTCGTGGATAAATAATCTTAGTTGTTCCCAAGCATCTTCCACAAAAACCTTTCTCAGTCCAAACAGCAGCTACTCTAAATTATGTCTGTTTGGTCCTCTGTCCTTTCCATGACCAGGCTTCAGGTGAAAAGATGAGTCAATAAGCTTGGCATAAATTTGTATTGTTCAGTTGGATTGGCATGATATAAAAGTCAGCACTCTACACAGGAGACTTTAAAAATCTCTTTAAAGGAAGTTTTTTAAAATCCAATATATTTGTGTTACACCGGAGACTAAGTCGGTAAATTGTAGATTATCATCAATTGATAACCCAGATACAGAAGTCTAGCATTAGAGCGGTCCTTAAGTAGTTTTACTCTTGTTAGAACAAAGAAATGAGGGATTAGTGAAACTGTGAATTAGGTCTAAAATCTTTCTGTACCATCAGCACCTGACGTTAAAGTTTATCTCGGAGCAGAATGTGTAATTTTGAGATATGCCTGTTCTAACAAGCATTTTAAGGAGATGAATGATCACATTAGTGATTTTCTTTAGAAGTAATTTATTTCCTTAGCCTGATTTGATTTGAATTTTGACCTTTTAAGACTTTTGATATAAATCCATTTAAGATGCTTCTGAAGGGCTTAAAAGACAATGAGAAGTCAGCAGCTTTCATATTAAAAATATATGAACTGTTCAGAATGAAACATTTAATTCCCACAAAAGCCATATCTTTAGGGCTACACAGTCCTCACTCTACAGCGAAGCAAAAATTAATGGAAATTTGAGGAGAAAATCAGCTGGGTCTTTGTCTTGTGCTGTGCTCGCTTGCCTGTGCTATGTACTCTCTAGCCATTTCCCTATCTGTGGTTTTCAGTGTTGCAGTTCAGAATTATTCTACAGCCAAATTGGCTCAAGTATTAGGAAAATTTAGATTGATTATCAAGGAAATGGTCTTACCCTGTTTCATCTTCTTATTATTAGCAATAACATTTTAGACCACCCACACCAGCTCTTCTTCTCTTACCTTCTTTTATGTGCCGTATGAAGGTAATTTAAGGAGGTGGGGAGCAAAGCTTTAGATCTTCTGAACTACAGACCATATCTGATAAAAGATGGATTCTGTGATTATAAAACCAAGCATATAATGCCCGTAATTTAGAAATCTACTGCTGTTCTGATTTATTTCCAGTCAGTCGAATTGTTCACATCAATTGTTAGAAGGTCAGGCTTTCACTAATTAGAACAGATGTGCATCTTAAATTATCTGTGGAAAATACATAACGAAAGAAATTCATGGTAAAGATTTTCAGTGTAGCACTATCATGTTTTCACTTTGGCAGTAACTTCAGAGGAAGTGATGTGGTGTGTCTTCACTGTTTATACTGATATGACAATTACCCAGCATATTGGTATTTACAATTTACTCTTTGCACTGGTACTTGACTGCATCATTTCACTTGTAAGCAGTTTACAGGGCATTTTCCTCTGTGCATTTCAGCTTGTGAAGTGATGGGTAGCTGCTCGTCCGCTTTCCATCATAGATGCTCTCTTCATGCAGGGCAAAATGCAGAATTTTATGTGATAGTACATTATACAGTAATTATTAATATATTCTTCAGCAAAATAATAGATCTTGTAGGAATAGTAGTATAGCAGTAGAATTAGGACAGTAACAGAGCTTGAACAAATCCCCAGCCTTGAAGGAGTGTTATTTTTGAACGTGCCCAGCACTGCAAGATGCCAGCAGATGCAGATATCTTTGCTTTTACTCTGCGTGCCATGCTGGTTTATTACTGAAGGATAAGCAAAGCACAGTTTATTACTGCAAGGTTTCTGTTAAATCTAGTCAAGCGCTGTTTTTCCCATTTCAATGCACTATATCTGCTTTCTTGTAACAGAATTTCCTTCCAGTTACAGGCAGACAGAGGAGAATAGATGAGTGGCTTCAGCCGTAGGAGGCTTTAGAGACGTGGTTTTCCCTTGTATCGTTTGTGTTCCACTGTCAAAAGTAGGACACATCTGGGGAAGGATGGTAGGGGAAGGAAACATCCAGACCTCCCAGCGGTTGTGTCTGTATGAATCAGCAGGTTGGTTTGCACTGATGGAGATGGATGCAAGATAATAAACCAAGTATGTCTTTGTTTACAGTAGCGTTCGAGAGAAAGCATGAGGCTCCTCTCTGAGGAGCTGCCAATCTGGCTGGGCAGAACAGAGAAACCAATCTCAGCATCAAGATGTTTTAAAATGCTAATCAGCTTGTATTCATTACCAAACACCTGCAAATGAAATTAGAGTAACAGTGAAAGAAGCAAATGTGATGTTGTCAAAACGGTGTGAAGCTGAGCAATCCTGTGATCTCGCAGTGGTGCAGATGCAGAGCAGGCAGCTACGTGGGGCTGAGCGGGAGATGGCAATGGGATCACCGGGTGTTCAGTAATTAATCTTTCAAACACCATTTCCTTAACGTGTAAGGAACAGCTGGTTTAAACATACGGATAGTTCTCCAGCACAGTTCATTCTTCTGTATGGCTTGTACCTAGGATATAGCTCAAACCTGATTTAACCTGCACGTGGCGAGGAGGGCGTAGAGTGGTAGGGAAGTGTCAAGGTGGACACTGACAGGGAATGATCTGTGTCTCGTGCTCGTAACTGAAAAAGAAATGCTGAGCTGAGCCATGCAAGAGCAAAGTGACAGAAGAAGGAACCTGGGGTGATGCTTAGAAGCAAGATGAAGAAGTGGTAAGGATGACAGCAGTACTTTTGGCTGAGAAAAGGTGAAAAACCTCTGTCATGGAAGCTGTTGGTGTCTTAGGCCGATGGGTGCTCCAGTGGCCAGGCAGCAGCTGAGGCTGTGAGCCTGTTGTATCCGGGTACGAGGGACATATCTTTGAGAGAGATGTTCAGTTGGCCCGTTTTCTGTGTGTTTTTCACCTCAAGACTGAAAGTGAATCTGTATGCGCTGGATGAGATGGGCTTTCTGGGGGAGCTCGGCAAGGCAGGGCTGCGGCAGGGTGGAAAGGTGCATGCCGGCACTGGCTGCTTTGCCGGCAGCACATCAAGGGCTCGGCACTTCTCTGGGGAGTGCTGGCACCAGCTGCTCAGGCACTGCTCAAGTGCAAGGTGGAACTGCAAATCTTGCGGCTTACCACCATTAAGGCAGCGTTAGAGTTTGGCTGGGCTTTCAGATATGTGTTTTTCCAGGATTTGTTGGGTAAACCTCTCTCCTTTAAGTGTATTTGAATTTTGGATTTCCAGCTGTCCTGAAATTGGGTTTGGGACTTCACAGTGACATCCTGCCTTAAATGTTGTCCTGTTGGTACATCCATGCCAGCATAAGGAAAATTTCTGCCCCAGGACTGGTTGTGGGTTGGCCACCAGTGCTTAGCACATTCCTGTTCAGCCTGGGTCTACCTGGTCATTTCTCAACAGGAAAGTTAGAGGGGGAATGTTTTGTTGGAAGTTGCTTTTGAAAATCAGCTGCAGTGGTGGTAGGTCCTCTGAAATATTTCAGGGTGTCTGTTGCTCCACCACCTCTCCACTCGTTGCCCAGCTATGATTTATCACCCATTGCAGGCATCTTCATTCTGGTTTTCCTACTGTCAAGAGGGTCACGTCCTTCATGTAAGTGCTCATCTGATCTGGAAATCGTAACCCAGACAGATGTTCAGCTCTCTGTGATTTCTTTTCTCCAAGTAAATAACATTGTTTGCATATGAAAGGGTGGTGTCTGCCTAAGTATTCTCTCCCAAAAGTACCCGTTTTTTCTGCTGTAACAATTGATGTGGTTGCAGCTGAAAAATTTCTCTAGTTACAGTTATGACTTGTCCCTTTAAACAAATGCTAGTTTTCAAAAATAAGATTTATAACAAAAAATTAAGTTGCCAGTATTCCTTTAAAATATTTTGATGACAGACAGATGAAAATACCTGGCTTTATACCTATTCCTAGAAATACGTGATTTCCACATAGTCCTTGGAAGAGAGTAACTTTTTCTTTCAGTAGCACAGGCACAGTTTACCTCTGGTCTGATTCTTATTTTTACTGTCTAACTAGAAATGCTGCCTTCTTCTAAATTCTTTCACTGCGTAGAAGAGAAAATATACGACTTTTTTCCTTATAACTTCACTTGACCTTGGCACACTCCATAGGCATTACTGATTACACCCAAAGTGTGCAGCATATAGTTCATCAATGACTTAAGGACTAACTTCCATTTGACCTTAAATCCTTGCATGTGGCATCTTTAGCTCGAAGTCCTGCTGCTGCAGCTCTTTCTGCAGTGTGTGATATTCATGTGAATGGTCTCATTGGCTTTGGTATGACCGCTTGCATAGTGAAGACTATTCATTTGAAGAAGACCTGTAGATACAAGGCAAATGTTTAAATTCAGGAATGTTGTGTTGGTTACTCTTCCTAAAACCAGGCTTGGGAAAAAGCACATTTCTGAATGTAGAACTTGGCTCAAAGATCTTGATAAATTAACAGGGATGGAGCTTTTTCATCTTAATTTTACATTTGTCAGCTTTTCATAAGACATTATGTGCCATGTTTATAAAGAGATGTCACCCATTTCCCTGAAAATTCTTTAATACTAAGTTTTATTGTTATTTTTCAGGTGTTCAAATGAAACAGTATTCAAAAAGGAAGATTTGTTCTGGGCATACAATTTCTGCCCCACTCCATACTCTTGGACAGCACTTCTGGGCCTTATTTTATACTTGGTTTTCTTTGCACCTGGTAAGCAAACGTTTGTTCATGCATATAAGTTAAAAAATTGTAAAGGTAAGATGTTGAATAGTGAGGCTACATGTTAAATTTACTTTTGAGTCCGGGCATTAAACTGAGATTGACCTTTTTTTCTAATTCTTAGGGATGGGTCCTATGCCTTGGACCGTCAATTCTGAAATTTACCCACTTTGGGCTAGAAGTACAGGAAACGCGTGTTCCTCTGGAGTCAACTGGGTTTTCAATGTGCTCGTGTCACTGACATTTCTGCATACAGCCGAATATCTGACGTATTATGGTAAGAAACAGTATGTGTCCGTGTGTGCAGTGCTACCACTGGCGCATAGATTTTCTGCTGATTCTGGGTCACTCAGTTGGTTTTGCTATGAAATGTCAACTGTGAATGCAGTGTTCTCAACCCACTGTGGTTTAGTAAGACTAGAGACCTGATACGACCTGCCTGGATCATAGAGTTTGGTCCAGCTTTCATAAGAAATACTTCTTCCTGTCCTTAACTGAGAACCTAGACAGTTGATTAAAACAGGGAAGCTGGAAAAACCCCACTTTTGACTTAGTGAAATGTGCTGATTCCCACTTAAGGAGACAGCATCTGCAATTTTCTGGTTTATGATGGCATCCAAGGCCAATCTCAGATGGTCCTTGCAGAATTAGCTGTGTAAGATGCTACTGCCCCACTCCCAGCTGTTGATTAAGTCCTGTCTGCTGGAGCCTGTGGAGAGTTTGTCAGACTACTGCTCAGCCACTCCACTACAAGTCATTTAAATTACATTAAACTGCTAGGGAGTTTTGTGACCTTCATATCATTACTAGTACAGAGCCTTTCAGCTCTACTTGTCATTTCTTTGAGTCATCAGTCTAGAAACACATGGCAGGTAAATGTTTGTTGGTCCTTTGGTACCTCCTCTGTCCCCCCTAGGTAAGGTGGGTGGTGGAGGGGAACGAGCTCTTTCTCACTGCTAATTGTCTCTGCAGAGGACTTTTAAATAATAGTTAGGTGTAAGAGTCACAAGTGTTATTTTAATCCTGACTATTTCTTCTTTGCTAAGGTTTCTTATTCTGAGGGGTTGTCTTAGCGTGTCCTTCGCTGTTAACATAAACTAAGAAAGTTCTTGCCTTCCGTATCTGCTTTTTTTGTTGGATATGCAACCATTTAATTGCTGTTTATTTTAACAGCAGAATGACTTGTCCAAAAAAGATGTGTATTATCTTCCACGTGAAATGAAATTGCTTTTGTTAATTTACTCCGTTGTGGAGCGATGCAATAAAGCAGCCTTCTCCTACGCCCACGGCCCCGCAGCTCGTTATTTTAACGATGCCGCTCCAACCATTGCTTTTATGCACCCCTTTGATATCTGCAGCCTGCTGCTTCTGCCGCTCCCTCTGCTCTGGAGCAGAGAAGGGACAGGAACTTCTGTAACCGACTGTGCATATTGCTTTACATTGCAGGAGCCTTCTTCCTCTACGCAGGGTTTGCTGGCTTGGGACTGGTTTTCATCTACGGCTGCCTTCCTGAGACTAAAGGGAAAAAACTAGAGGAAATTGAATCTTTGTTTGAAAACAGGCTATGTACATGTGGTATGTCAGATTCTGATGAAGGGAGGTATATCGAGTATATTCGGGTGAAGGGAAGTAATTACCATCTTTCTGACAATGATGCTTCTGATGTGGAATAATTTTCAGCTGCTGATGTATTTAATCATTTAAAAGCCTTCTGGGGGAAAAGCAGCTCTCTGATGACCTCACTGCCCTGCTTCTGGTCTGGTTCTCCTTTCTACTGTCTAGTTAAAAATGCCTTCACGTTCAAAAACGCTCCATTGGGGAGGAAATTCAATATGCTAGTGTTTTCTTGATGACTAAAAGCAATGACTTCCAAAAGAGATTGAATTCCACGATTATGCGAATTCACCAAGTGTGCGTGACACTGCACCGTCCCAAGGTGTATAGTAGGGTGCACTGTACCAGATGAATACAGAAGGCTATCCTAGATGGTCAGTGGTTGTCCTTATATTCAATACTGACAAAAGATAAAATAATAGAGTAGCTAATCAGAAAGCAGCCGACATCTGTCAGATCCCCATCCCATCGCAGCCTAGCAAATAGCTCTGCTGTGCAGTACAACGAATGACGAATGCATAAGCTGCTGTAACGGTAGCCATTTAAAAGGTTATACAGAAGGCTATCCTAGATGGTCAGTGGTTGTCCTTATATTCAATACTGACAAAAGATAAAATAATAGAGTAGCTAATCAGAAAGCAGCCGACATCTGTCAGATCCCCATCCCATCGCAGCCTAGCAAATAGCTCTGCTGTGCAGTACAACGAATGACGAATGCATAAGCTGCTGTAACGGTAGCCATTTAAAAGGTTTACTGATTAGGAAAAATACAAATATCTATAGGAAAATACAAATATCTATCGGAGGGAACATTTCCCAAATTTGCCCTAAGAAAAAGAGATTGAATTCCACCATTATGTGAATTCACCAAGTGTGCGTGACACTGCACCGTCCCAAGGTGTATAGTAGGGTGCACTGTACCAGATGAATACAGAAGGCTATCCTAGATGGTCAGTGGTTGTCCTTATATTCAATACTGACAAAAGATAAAATAATAGAGTAGCTAATCAGAAAGCAGCCGACATCTGTCAGATCCCCATCCCATCGCAGCCTAGCAAATAGCTCTGCTGTGCAGTACAGCGAATGACGAATGCATAAGCTGCTGTAACGGTAGCCATTTAAAAGGGTTAACTGATTAGGAAAATACAAATATCTATCGGAGGGAACATTTCCCAAATTTGCCCTAAGAGAATTTCCATTTTTATTTATTTGAGATAACAAGTAGAGAGCCATACTCACCTGGGTGGAGGTTCACTAGGGTGACATACGTCTGTGTTACACCAGGTTATCTAGCCACTGCTGCTCTTGAGTACACACTACAGTTGGGAGTTGGTGTTTGTGAGAGAAACTGCCAAAATTAACTACCTGAGAGCAGGAAAACAGAACTAAGTATGTGGCCACATGTACAAATGAACTGGTATATATTGCTAGGTACAATGTAGAGGCTTCAGTTAGTTGGAAAAAAATGATTTTTGTTTTCCTTTTTTGCATTTGAACGTTTGGGTTCGTGCCTACTTTTGAACATAAAGTATCACTAGCTAAAAGAAAGAAAAGGAGGGGAGAGGTTTTGTGCTGCTACATGCACGGTGGTCATCCCTCCTGCGCCTTTTGCTTGTGAATAATCACATTGCCTTCAGTTTATCTTCATATGTACAGAGTAAATGAATCCCAGCACGTTTTTCCTTCAAATGCCTTTAGTCAACCAGTGTCTTGCTGGATCTAAAGAGAAATATTAGCAATGGGCAGAAGCCTACATCTCATATTAATTGCCTTACTGAAGCATTGCAAAATTGTCAAGAAAATGTCAGGCACAAAAATCAACTTGGCTGCCTTTAGCCTGGTAATGAAAATATGAATGGTATTTTATTCACCTGCCATGATTGCTTGCCTTGGCAAACTGAATTTTATGCAGCTACATAAAAATATTATGTTCTTTTTTTTCCTTGGCCTGTCCTCACTGCTTTATGTCTTCAGAGATACAAGTTTGAAATCACCAACAATTCAAATTCTTATCTTTGAAACATTTGCTTCCTGAAAGAATGTGGAAAACCTCCTCTGCCTGTGGGCTGCCCCCCATTTATTTGGTGAAAATACATTTATTTTTCATTGTGTAAAGATTAAAGAAGTTGTTGGGTTCATTAGCTTTTATAGATTTGCTTTGTGGGCTTTTCTTGGGTTGAAAAATATTCTGAATGTAGGATTACTATCAAAACTGAGACTGGACATTTGTTACTAAATTATTTTTATTGGATAACGTGGGGTTTTGTTGTCTGCCATTATGTTATCTGATCTTCTGGGGGGGAGTTCTTACTCTCCAATTATTGACCTTCAGCGATTGGGTGTATTTTGCGTTATTTTCTTTTTTACTTCATTAATCAAAGAAATATTTTTGGAAACAAAACATTTTAAAGCATCCTTCTGTGACTTGACTGGGACTAAAAGGGGAAAGCATAGCGGACGGAGGGAATTTCAAACGAATCATTGCGAAGAGTGGCCCAACCTTGAATATGTCCTTGCGCGGTGAGAGGGCTGGATTCTCACGCCTCTCCTCTTGCCTCCCCTTTAAGCGCACAATATTTTTATGCTTGAAAGCACCAGCTGTTGAAAATGCTCGGGTCTCCAGACCTATCTACAAATGCACCCACCAGAGGATGTCTCCGTTAGGCTGTCACCTCTTTGAAACCTTCACCGAAGGTGCAGTACCTGAAATGAGAAAAAGGGATACTTGGCACAGATGAGAACAAAATAGTTTTAAGGGCAAATTGGTTTCTTCCTGAAACCAAAAAATGTGTGTTTCAAGGCCCTTATTTGGAACAGTTTTGTTACCCAGAACAGCGTGTGAATAGGTGTGTGATGCCCAACCTGTGCTTACGTGGTTGTAAGTGGGTATTTACTGGCTTTTGAGAATAGGGACTTACGGTTCTAATCCCCCCAAAAGCGTGACCCCATGCTCACCGTTACACCTATGAACGTCCCCTTGCTTGACGTGTTTTGCTGGAGCGGGGTGTAAGCCAAGGAGAGTGTCCCTGCGCCGGCATGGTGTCAGTGCTGACCTCGCGCTTCGTTACACTTGTGTCCACAGGTAGAGGAAACTGCTGCTTTATCGGGCATAACCAAAGCAAAGTCACTGGAAAGATCGCTGTCACAAGACCAGCCTCTTTTGTTTTGCAGGCAGTGCTGGGGCTTTTTAGCAGCAGACGACCATCTCTCTCTGCCAGCCTTGTTTCACGGATGTTCTCAAAGGTGGCGCTCAGCTGTGTACTGCACTGGGCTCGTTTTCTCACACAAGTTCGATCTTACTGAAAGCAGTTTTCTGAAGGTTTGCATCCCGTGCCCTTTTTCTGGAGGCAACATGATAGAAACATTTGCATTTTATTCATCATTGCTATGAGGGTGCAAAATGTATCGGCTTCTTTATTGTCACTCTCCCTTCCCCACCCGCAGAGAGTTGGGTTTAAGTCTTCCTTTTAGGGTTGCTTTACACCAAGATAACATTCCATACCTTAGAAACACTGAACCTAGTACCAAGCATCACGTGTAATAAAAATGAGATCAAATACTTGAAATTAATCTTACGCGATTAGGGTTTTATTTTTAAAATCTGTGAACATTTATAATGTATGAAGAAAATTAAATAAATGTTTCTATTTTGCAAAGATTTTTTATATTTGTGCATATTTTAAGTTTTAAGAGATTTTTGCTAAGGGTAGGCTTAGTAACATTCCAGATAAAAGAATAAAAATACAGTGTAGCTGAATAATTTCTTATGATAGGATTTTAATTTATGAAGTAGCATAAATAGTATGTCTAAGCACAATATCATTTTATTGAAAGCTTTCTGCGGAAGATGTGAAATCGTTTCTTCACAAGGACTGCACATTTAATTCAGGTATTCTGTGCATCAGGAATGCTAGAGTAATACTGCTGGTAGAGTTGGGCATGAATCACATATTGATTATACACAATAATTTGAGATATTTTAATTCTGATTAATCTACTGACTCTACATGTTTTGGTCCGAGAGCAAGTATAAAAGAAACAAGTCCTGATGCATTTTTAATCTTTTTAAATTTAATTCACATATAGTAGTTTGTTCACCATGTTGCAAATCTAAAGTGTTGGGGGTTTGAGATAATTTGCCACTTGTTTCTTCCCTGTGTCACTTTGTTGATCAAAATCAGTTTTTAACGAGCGAAGCAAACCTGTTTTGAAAATAGACATAGAAATGAAGCAAGGCCCCAGGACTCGTTTGAGGGCTGAAGTTGCATTGCTACATGTGCACCTGAGATAGATCGCTGTCATAGACGTTGCTACCTTGTGAGTTGCAGTGACAGCCCTGTCAGAAATTTTGGGACAAGAGAGGATACATCCCAGGGATCGTTGTTCCAATGCCGACTTATTTTTGCATGAGTTGGTAAATGCGGCATTTCAGTGGTGTAGGAGTTAGGGTCGGGAGGGGAGAAGAAAGAAACGACGCATCAAAAGCCCCACGAAGTCATGTGTCAGCAGAGACAGGTGTCGTAGCCAAAAGGAGCAGTCTCTGACTTCTCTCCCATGTGGGAGAAGGATGGTGGGACCAAGGGACTGTGCTTGGTCCTGTGGATGGGAACAGGAGGCTGGCAGACTAAGGGGAAAGAAGCACACAAGGCTCCTCTCCCATGCCCATGCGGAGGTGAGAACATGGCAATGGAGTTTGCAAAGCTAGTACTTTTTTCCTCGGTAAAATCTCTTTTGCCCTTCTTAGTCACTCAGGTTGAGCACTGGGGAGAAGTTTTGACTTTCAGGGTCTGCTACAGGCCCTGAGCAAGGGTCTTTCCTTTGGCCGTGAGGGTGCTGGGTGCAGCCCCACAAGCGCGCAGTGGACTAATAAAAGATAGACCCTGTACTTCTCAGCTTTATACGCAACTTTCTACTTCTCAAGGTAAACGCTCTTCTAACATGGTCTTGAAATTTTACTTGTACTTGCGTAAGTACAAGTAAAGAGGCTTTGTTAGCTGAACATCACGACGCGAGAAAGAGGCAGAGTCTTCACAGCATAGAGAGATCTCGGGGTAGAAATCAAGGCAGAAGAGACAGTTCTGCAAAGCACTTTAAAGAGTAAGATATTTGTGCACTTTTTTCTGAGAGAGTCAAGCTAACCAAACCTCATTCCTCTGCATTGGGAAGAAAATCGAGCTTTATGTACCAGGCCAGAAGCAGATAATGCCACAATATGTGCTTTATGGCAAAATGTGTTTTTATTGCGGGTAACATTTACAGCTTACATGTAGCTGCTGCCTATAAAGTGACTCAGTCGTTCTCTGGATTTTAACAAGTCACATTTTTGTGCAAAAATCTTAGTGGTTTTCTATCGATCTTCATCGCCTTGTGTACAGTACAGTTAAGCATAATCCACAAAGTGGTCTAGGTTGTGGCAGTGTTACAAATGTCAGCACAGTAAAATCTAGGTGAACATTGTTAAAGAAATATTGTTGTTTGTGATACTGGGGGTTAAAACTCCTTAAAGGAAACTATATATAGATTTTAAAAGTCTGAAAAAATGGCAGTTCTTATCTTTTTTGTGTATGTTTTCATATAGAGAAGGAGTTTTTTATGTGCCAATAACCATCACTGTAGTGTTTTGTAAGTGGGTGTTAATGGTGTTCCAGAGTTCCGTATATGAGAATATACTTTAGCCACAATGACCTGTTAGTGTGAACCAGCGGCATGTTTTTAATCTTACGCACCTCTCATTTTTATGTGCCAATAACCATCACTGTAGTGTTTTGTAAGTGGGTGTTAATGGTGTTCCAGAGTTCCGTATATGAGAATATACTTTAGCCACAATGACCTGTTAGTGTGAACCAGCGGCATGTTTTTAATCTTACTCGCACCTCTCATCAGAGGGGCTCACTCGTCAGCTTCAGTAGAGCTCACTCAAGCCAGGGGAAGTTTGACCAGCGTCAGGCCTCAAGAATACAGAGTTTATCTAAATCCCCGCTTTTTCACATTGTCCCTAGACAGTATGTTACATGTGAATGATCTGGCACGTGTAATTATAAAGCTTTAACTCTGGTTCAGTTACACTCCTCGATTCTGTTGAGATACAGTTTGTCAAAATTCGGTTTGACCTTTCATCGCATTTATATAAATAAGGGGTGCACTGATTAATTATGAGTAACGTCCACCTATTTCTAAAGGAAACATCAGTTTCTGAAGTGTTAAAATAAAGGCAAATTTCTCTTGCTGCCTTAAACATTACACAGACTTTGGAGAGGACTGAATGTATGACCATCATCATGACTTCTGCAGGAGAGACTTCATGGATCCTCAGCAGGTGTGAAACAAGATGGTTTCGTGGT